TACACACTGTGCCTGACTCATTCCATGTGAGCAGGAAAGGCTTCTGGAGGAGATAGGCAGGCTATATTCCAAATGCAGCTGTAATGTCATCTTAAATAAATAAAAAAAAGAAGCTAGGGAAATAATGCAGAAATTCTGAGCATCTTTAGCATACTTTACAAGCTTTACCTTGTCTTTACCAGATTAAAGACATTTCATACAGTGAGCTCTGGGGTATGAATAGTGTTCTCTTTGCTTCTTTTTGCCCTGCAGCCTCATTAGATGAGCTCTGGGAAATTGGAAAGACTGCACAGAGAGAGAATTAATTTGCACACAGGATCTGCAGCCTAAATTTGTCATCTTGGCAGCCCTCTCTTTATGAAGTAAATCATGAATCATCACCAATGGAAAAGCCTTAGAGGATAAAGTCCATGTTACATAGTACTGTGTCTAGAGCCAGCCTTCCAGAGCCCACATGGAGACTGACCAAGCTGCCTCTGAAAGCAGCAGCACAGCCATGAGCCCCCTGGGTGTGAACAACCAGCTCATACGCAGCCAGAGCTGCAGGATCTCAGCACTTTGGTCACCTCTATTGCTGACTACCCCTTCCTCCATTATACATCCTTTGAATCTTCTCACAGCCTAATTTACTGATACCTTCTGCTATCATCTTCCCACTTGAGCTGTTTGAATTCACTATGACATTACCGTGGCTAGACAACAACTGAGAGCCTTTCTCAAACTGCTGGATGTATAATACCATCTTATGGGAGCTCTCAAAACACTTTCATAGTGTTATCGCTTATCTGAGACTGCAATTACACAGTTTAATTAAATTTTGTTTGACATGCAGTCCCGTTTTTTCTTAGTCTTTATTTCCCATGTGACTCCACCCTCCATTGCGGAATGGTACTGGCAATCTCCACCAGCATATATTGCTGTTGGCCTAGAGGGTTGGTGTAGGTCCCTTCCAACTGAACTGCTTTATTCCAGTCCCAGTTCTTTTTCTAAAGAAAAAAGGAGGCCATAAGAAAATATAAGTGCAGTCCATGTTATTTGGACAGAAGTCTATGTTTACACGCCCTTAATTACTCAAGTTGTTACTGAACTCTGAGCAGTTTACTTTAAGGCAATAATCAATTTAGTACCTTTCCTAAGGACTAACATTGTAAAGACAGTGCTAATGTCATTAATCCTGTCTAAACTTTCTGCTTATTGCAGCCTGTTTTTTTGAATTTAGGTGAAATTGCCTTTAAGGTGGTCTAAGGAGACCAAAACTATATGGGCAATTAATACAATTTCTTTTTCTTACTATAATATTAATTATACCTAATGCAATTAATTTTTAAACTTGAGAAATGTTTTGATTTTCCTCTGTTGCCCATTAAGTTAACAGAGATAAATAACTAAACAGAAATTACATATACTTAACAGAGGTTAAATAGACTTTTATTACATACATACATTTATTACATACAAAAACATCCAAGTGCTGCACCAGCAGAAGTCAGGCAGCAAGGAACAATTTCAGTTATTTTGCTTCTGAGCATTTACAAGAATATGTTTGTACAGGAGGAGTTTTGGTATCTTCACTGACTATGGTAATGCATCTCTGGGACAAGTAATGAAAGGGCTCATTTCATCTTCCACAAGGTATATTCCCTGATTCCAGTACCTTTGATTAGCAACTGGTGTTCTCCAGTTTCTACCTCCAAATACATTTAGTATTCAAAGTCCTACTCTGTCTTTGACGAGAGCTGATTCCAAGTGAAAAACAGCAGATCTTACACATCTCCTATCTCTTTAATAGGGAAAAGAGAAGGAATTTATCAGACTGTCTGTTCACTTGCCTATCATCCTTTATTTCTTCTCAAAGGTCAGCTTTATGAGAGCAACCTTCTTTAATTCTCTAATATCTCTAATATCCAGGGGAATTCCTCAATATTCCCCTCAAACAAGAACTTGCACGACAGCAGTAAAGTATTTCTTGATTTTGCATACTAATTGAAGATTTACATGAGTGAGTACTAAAATATTCAATGTGATTAAATTCTGATATTAATTAGAAGATCAGTAAGGGGTATTTTAATTTCTTTTTTCCTTTTCATGTTAAGTTTCTATAAGAGGGATGCTACAACCCAAGAATTGATGAACTTATATAATAGTATTGATATATACAGTAAGACCTTGTCTTCAGAAAGTCAAGGTGGTCATTAATAACTAATCATGAAGAGAAGAAATGGTCCACCAAAATTTCATTATTTTAGCAGCCATGTTTAGAAGCATTTTTCCAACAAAGCTCTGACTAGCTCAGTACATCATGTAGTAAAGCAAGCATGAGTGAGCCACAGGCACACATCCTCAGAGAATTCCTTCTAAGAAGTATAATGGCTGTTATTTTTACACTTTTAATCCCTAGCCTCTCCTTATTACAGCTAATCATCTCAGCATATGCATTAAAGAGGGCTCTGCAGGTAGCGTAGCATGAGATATCAATTGCCATCCAAAGCACTAGTGCTTGCTTCTATAGAAGCATCTTTGGCCACACATAGGTTAGTATATTGTGAATCTTCATTTTTCCCATTTGTTTTAGTATGAGTTGAATGCTTTATTCCCATATTCCACAGCACAGTCATTAACTTCATCTATTTATATTGTCATTTTGAATTTGATATGTGACTGCACAGAAGGATAGCTTTTAACCAAGTCAGCTGTACATAAAGCCTATAATAAATCCTAATTTCAGGGTGTATATTCCCAGAAGACTCTTCCCCCTCTATTAGGGAATAAGTGACTTTTCTAAAACAGGTGCAGGAAAACATTAAAAGTGCATAGATATCTGCTCAGACACATGCTGACACACAAAAAAAGTAATATTGTACAACCTATCCAGTACAATGCAGAAACACAACTTATGATTGTTAAACAACATATTTCAACTCCTAATTGCAGTTTACTTCCTTAGGCTGCTATTTATACCCGTGCATGATAATGATTCCCTCTTAAAAGCATGAGTTTGTAACACAAGCTATTTCTGGATATTATACCATCACCCACCTAAGGCAGAACCCATCAACAGGGTTGATCTCCTGTTGGAAAACATCTCCAAGATCCAAGAAGATACACTGCAACTTGTCATATCAGTGTTTTGGCCATTTGTAAAAGAAGATTAGATTCTGACTACGTGTTGTAGGCAGAATTTATACGATGCACACATGACTCTTGGCAGCTGTGGGCAGGTTCTGACCTTGGCCAAACCTTACGGTCCCACCTTGTGAGCCGCACACACCAGCACTTCCCTTTTGGTACAGCAGACACATGTCCTGTGTTTTGAAATTCAACAGCATAGTAGGTGATCTGATTTTTGGTGTTATGTTGGTGCCACTATCTATTTTGTACACAACTGCACAGCAAGACAGATTCTCTTGGGGTGTGTAAAAGGCACCTCTGCTCCAGGGCCAAGGTAGCCTCGCCAGAGATTCACCCAGAATGCAGAGAGGGAGCACAGGCATCCCATCCCATCCCACTTAGCAGCCAGCTCTGAGCAAAACACATCTCAACTACAGAAAATCAGGCCAGCTCTTTCCAGCAAGCTTGAATCTGAAAATAGGGTTTTTTAAAAAAATTTAAATGAATGTTAAAACATGACTGTTTTAAATGAAAATCCACTGCAAGTTTCACAATGCCACAATAACTTAGAAGAATAAACCTCATTCCAATTCAATGACTCCGAATCTCCCAGGCTTTCTGAAGGAAATGTCTTGAATTCAGCTTTTCTAGAAAAATCATTCCCATAAAAGATCACACCCAAATCCTTTAAAGTGCATAATTATAGTCAGTCAAGTTAAGATTCCCCCTGAAAGAAATTTTCTCCTCCTTGTCCTGTGCAGTATTAACATTTATAATAATCAGTGCTGTAAGAAGGTTTAAATATAGTCATATATTGTACATAATTGTTGTACTGTTGCTATGCACTATTACATAACTGCCTGCAGATGGCTGCATTTCAATGGGAGAAAAACATACTGTTTAAAAAAACTACTGTTCTTTGAGTATTTCTGATTTCTAAATAATAATATTGATACTATTAAAATAAAAACAAAAATTAAAAAAAATAATCAATGCATTGCTTTTACATGTACAGCAGCAAATAGTCTGGTCCCCTCTGTGTAAATCAGTTTCAAATGTGCTCTAGGATTTTTTTTTTAATAAAAGAGCATTAAAACTTTAGGCATTACACAAAGAGCTGAAGCTTTAAAAACTTCTCACACTTTAACTGAACAGGAGGACCACCTCTGTTTACAAGAGATTTTTATTACGATTAAAAGGCAAATTTAGAGCAAGGTGTCTTCTGCTTCTGATATTCTTCTCCTAGTCTGAAGGCTTAAAGCTCTTTAAAATGTGAATATCAATATTAAAAATTAATTAAATTTTCAATTATGACCTGTCCTTGAAATTTTATTTTGCTTTCTACTTAATATAGTTACTGCAGCATGAGTGCAATAAAGTCAAAGTGCTTCTAATTCTAAATTGAATAATCGTAAAGTTACCAGAAGGTTTTTAGGGCATTTTTAAAGTGTTGCTTTGGTAGGTTTTATTCCTCCTGAACTAAATGAAGAATTTGTATTGATTTGTAAGGAATTCAGAACAGAGCTGAGTATTTTCTTGCTGTTGTCACACCTATTTCTTTTCAGATTCAATACTTAAGTCTGCTTTACTGGTCACTAATAGCAGAAGTAAGAAGCTGGTAACACTGACCAAACAATCAGTAGTAATAAATCAGCTGATAGCTGGGAAAAATACTTCTCTTCCTTTGGAGACATCTTCTGTATTTCACAGCTTCACACTCTGTGTTGTTCAGAAGCTTCCCACATCAGCAGGGACACCACAGTTACCAGGATATATCAGGATTGATTTTTGGCTGACCCACTGAATTCCAGTGTGAACTTGGGCTTGACCCAGTAGCTTTCTTCCAGTAAGATACAACATTGCTGTAAATAAACAGGCAAAGAAAAACCAGGCCAGATTATAAATCTTTACTTTCACTTAATATGCCAGTCTCTTGGCTATTCCATGACCACTAACAGCACTAGTTCTCTGGGGATGGGACCATCTTTATTATAAACCTGAGCAGTGCAGACAGGGCAGTGGATCCTCAGTTTCTAGGTATTAGTGGATATCAAACTCCAGGCTCTCAAAAAGATGCTTTAGGGTTCATGCAGTGATGGTTGCCCTCCAGCTGAAAGGAAAAGCAGGTTATAGAGTCATAATTTTGACTCTGTGCAGACAAGATAATCACCTTACTTTTAAATTAAATCAAATTTATGTTAATTAAGAAAAAAAGCTCAAATACTTCTATTAATAAAAAAATACTGAGAAACAAAGTACTAGCTAAGATATAAATGATGCTTTCTTCTTTATTTTCAATTATCTTCAAGTGAAAATTGTTTACTAAGAAATATTTTGCATGTAACAACCCTATGCACCAACCCATTACAAGCAAAGCCTGCCTTTTTTCAGAACACAACACTGCATCCTAGCACAAGACATAACTCTAATAAAATGCTGTGCATATATTATTTGAGCTAAAATTTCTCTCCCTGACCAGGGCCAGAACTAAAGCCCCAGATTCCTACTCTTATGAAGAATAGTTAGACATCAGCTAAAGCATAACAAGCTGCTTATTCTGGTTTTTCATTAATCCAGACTTGGAACACAGCCACCAATAAATGTGTTGGCATTTTTTAAAAGCCTTAGTATCAAACATTTATACCTGAATTTTTCCTTTAGGTCCTGTTTGAAATGCCTCCCTTTGGAAAGAGATTTAAGTCTTGCTTCACACTGCCCAGCAATGCATATTCCCTTTCTCAAAAGGTGTTTCTGTTTAATTGGCCTTGACTGTGAAAATGTGCATTCCAATTTGTATTTTAGTCATTCAGTGTGGCCATCAATAGAGTTACCTTTATCTTCAGTACTGAAGTGTTCCCTTTCCAAATTTCTGTGCGGGTGATGCTGCCCTGAGCTGTCTCTCTGCTGAGGTCCATCAACCTACTTCTTTGAACATGTTCTGAGGCTGGTGCTTTCTTGTTTATTTCTTGATGTCCCTTGTATATTGTGCTTCCTGTTTCAAATCTATTTTCCCATAGCCATACTGTCCTTTGAAACTAAGTACAAACAGCGCTGCAGCACCACCAACAGCAGAACAAATGGAGTGGTAAAATTGTTTATTTTCTCCTTGTTTCGGGGCCAATTTACACAAACACTGTAGGAGTGAGCCAACATAACACCAAGCCAGTTATCACGACCATTCCCACTCCCTGATGTCTTGATACTTGGCTCACAGAAACACATTTCTGCTGCATTCACTGGGTCATCGCTGAATCTGGATCAACAGAAATATAACCACGAACAGCGTTTTACTAAAGGTGCGTTCACAGCCAGTCTACATCAGCACAGAGGAGTCAGCAAAGCCTGGGCCCGGGAACTTCAAGCTGATATTCTCCTCCATTCTGACAAAAGAACGAGGTTTTAAATGGCATCAGGATTTACACGCGTCCGGCAGCTGAGCTGATCTGACAACTCCGTGTCTAATTCTTGCGTGACATAAAAAATTAAACGGATCCATCCTCCTCGGCCCTCTGTGCCGGACGTGCCCGCACCTGCTGAAGCGGGGACGGAGCGAGGGGGCCCGCTCCTCACGGCCCGGCGGGGCCGGCTCTACGGGGCCCGGCGGAGCC